TTTTTTAAATAAATAGTTTCTACTTTTTTTAAGAAGCAATTCTTATCCGCTTCTTAAATAATTCCTTTTTTAAAAGCATTTGTTTTATTTTTTTTTTAAGTTTAAACAAACAAACTTAATATAATAAAAATTTACGTTATAAGTGCTTAAAAATTAATAAGTTGTATTTGGATGTATATATTCATAAACACTTATATAATTTTAAAGTGTTTGGATATATTATCATTTAAGCATTATTGTCTTATTTTAAAAATTAAAAAATTAAAAATTAAATATTGACTAGGAATAAAATAAAAAAATAAAAAAATAACTAAGTAATTTTTAAAAATGACATTATATAATACAATAATATTAAAAATAATAATAATAAAATTACTAGTCACCATTTACCCAATTTTATTTTTTAAAAAATTAATAATAAAATGAGACTTGAGTATTTGAATTTTGATTTTTGTAATGAAAAATATGTGATGAGTAAAAACAATAAGTCACAAAACAGTAACCGAAACCCACAATTAAAAAAAAAGTTACATACCTTTAACAAAGAGGTTTTCAATAATGAAGATATTGTAGCACCATGATTTTATTAATTATGTATATTGATATGTGTGTAATTAAGATTGTTGTTTTAAGTTGTTTGAGTTGTTATATAATATTTGGCCTATATGGGACGATGGTTAGAATTTAGATGATCCTAAGTTTAAGTTATAAGAGATATAGGTTAAGTATTTAAGCATGGACTCAAAGAGTGTTGAGGTATATAAAACGGATTTTGAGAAGTGAAATTCATAATTCATAAGTTAAGATTTCTAGAAAGAAGTTAAAGAGGTCTCTCGAAACTGAGTTGTTGTTCAAACTTTTAAGCATTTCTAAGGCCATGGATCTTCCTAAAGGCTAAGGATTGGATCTTCAAGCCAAAGAAAGATTGTGGAGATGAGATTCTTGAGAATCAACTTAATGAAGCTCTAGTGAGAATTATAGGGGGAGTTTCCTCTTGCTCAATTTCTTCTAACTAGGGAGTTCAATCGAGGTAAGAAAAGGTTAATTGCAGTTTATATATATTATATAAGATAAATGTAATTATTTTGATTTGAATTAATGGATGAATGTTTAGATTGGTTAAAGATGGAATTGTTGCTTTGGTGCCTAAATATTTGTTGCATGTGTTGGATGAAATGCATGTGGCTTTTTAGGTTGGGATAGCAAAGGAGAAGGTTAGCACCATAGGGGTGTGATGCATTCTCACTTAGTGAGTTGATACTTGTTGAACGAGCCTTCATAGGTTGAAGGCTAGGACCTAAATGTTGGGTTTTTGCTCAGTCTCGCTCAACAACCTGGGCTTGCTATTAGAAGCTCATTTGGCAAGCCATAACTCGCTGAGCAAGAATGGCCACAAAAGGTGATGGTGATGGTGATTGAGCAAGAGATACTCACTCAATGAGAAGCGAGCCACGTGATGTGGAAGTTGTTGAGCGAGATTAACTCTCTCAACAAGAAGACCTAAAAAAGGTCAAGGTTTCTCACCAAGGTAGGCCTGTTCAATGTGGAGTTATAGAGAGCTCGAGTAGCTCAATGACCTTCAAATAGTTGACCAAATATGTTGGTTTAGCTAGAAGGTGTCCTAGTGTTGTATGAGGTGTTCTTATATCCTAGATAGGCTAGGAAGTGATGTATGAACCATATATAATGTATATAATGTTGATGGTGCTTATGATGATGATGATGATTATAATATGTCATTGATGATATTTTCTATGGTGATTATATATGTATCTTTCATATATGATGATGTTGAATTGTATGCTTATGCATGATGTTAGAGTGAATGTAGGGAAGACTTGAGCCCCTAATTCACATAGTTGAATATGGTGTTGGGAAGGCTATATCCTCTTCATTCAAGCTGGTTTTCGAAAATGTCTTTCAGGTAGTTTAAAGGAAAATGATATGTTGAGTTGTTTTATTGAGTTATTCAACAAGAGATTCTAGATGATTGGATCTTTGGGAGTCCCATGCTTTATAGTCCTAGATGGAGATTTCTTTTCTAAAAATACAATTCTCCTTTAAACAATGTTGTGAAAATGATGTGTGGTGAGCTGTTGCATAATAATTGTTGAAGGACCATGTTTAGGTCCCCTGGACTTGGATGTTTAGTTGGCACATAAGTCATATCTTGTCACCAACTTAAATAGTATAAGTATAGATGGTGCTGATATTGGTGACCACCCCTCAACTTACATGTCAACTCAACATCCAAGTTTAGGAGACTTAGACATGGCCATCCAACAACTATTATGCTATGACTCACCACACACCATTTTTACAACATCATTTAAAGGAGAATCATGTTTTTAAAAAAGACATCTCCATCTAGGACTACAAAGCATGAAGCTTTCGAAGATCCAATCATCTTAAATCTCCCACTAAACATCTTAGAAAAACAACTTAACTCATCATTCTCTTTTAAACTACCTATAAGGCCTTTTTCAAAATCTAGCTTGAGTGAAAAGGGTCCAACCTTCCTAATAGCACACTTAAGTCAGCAAATTAACGACTTAAGCCTTTCGTACATTCACTCTAACATAATGCATAAGCATACAATTCAACTGCAACCACCATAGGTTGGTGCCAACATCTAAGCACTCAACAATGAAAGATACATATATAATCAACATAAACAATATCATCACCATCATCAATGACATATGATAATTATTGTCAACATTATAAGCACCATCAACATTATATACATCATATGTGGTTCATACATCCTTAGTAGCCTATCTAGGATATAAAAACACCTCATACAACATTAGGAAACCTTTTAGTTAAAAAAACGTTTTAGGTTAGCGATCTAAAGCTCGTTAAGCAACCCATGTTCTCTGTAGCTCCACGTTAAGCGAGCACTAGCTCATTGAGTGACCTTGACCCTCTATGGGTATTCTTGTTGAGCAAGCCCATCTTGCTAAGTGGACAACACATTTTGTGGCTCACATCTTGTTGAACAAGTATTTCTCACTCAGTTTCCATCACCTTCTTTGGCCATTTTTTTTGGGCAAGTTTTGGCTCGCCGAACGAGCTTCCAATAGCAAGCCCAAATTGTTAAGTGAGACTAAGCTCGTTGAGTGAAAACTCGACATTTGGATTCTAGCCTTCAACTTATGAAGGCCCGCTCAACAACTATAAACTCATTGAGCAAGAATACAATCACATGCATCTCTAAGGTAACAGTTTGAGGTGAAAACTTTTTTTTTTTTTTTTTCAAATAAGGGTACATATATGGTACTATATTACTCAACCATTATCATCCCTAGTTCTCGTTGATGTTAAAATGTGAACATTTTTACACCGATTGTACAATAAATAGTCAGTTAATTCAAAGTGAAAAATAGTGAGAAAAATATAGAGAACTCTAAAGAGTTTTTTAGAGAGAAAAAATAGTAAGTCAATGTGAAAGTGTTATATAAATTGATACTACATTATTATTGTATTTTTGTATTTCATTATTGTTATAGTTTAAGCTAAAGTATTAACAAAGTTTGGTTCTAGTAGAAGAGGTTAGTCACCCACAACATAACAAATTAAGGTTTAAATCTCCACTAAGTATAGTTAGTGTAGACCATATCTCAAACATGATAATTTTCTATAAAATAATATACTAATGGGAAACCAAAAATAAAATAAAAATTGTATTTCTATGAAAATGGGTACTCAAATTATCCTAACAAAAGTTGAAAGCTTCCACCTTCTCACCTACATGTGATCCAATAAACTCTTTGTTAGATGGAGTACTGATAAAGACATTCTTACGCCCAAATATGAAGGATTTGGTATTGCAAGTAATTTGTAGAATTAGATAAAATTACCTTATGATTGGATTTAACATTGTTTTATAGGTGATAGTTATATTAAAACTCATTTAATTGATATAATAAGGGAGTTTTATTAATCATTAATGATAATGATGAGTTATGTGAACATTACAATACTATTTTTTATTATGAGTTGTATGGTTGTCAAAAAGAAAAACCCTTCTGCACAAGTAGGGATTATTCAAATAATTCGGCTTCCAATAGGAAACATACTTTATTGTCTTGAGGTTTTTGATCATGTTGAAGGGCATCAAGGCTATTTGGTATAGAAAAGGTTTGTTTAAGTAACTTACAAGTTCATTGGTTTTTTCTAACTCATTTCTAGAAGGTTTTCATGCTAAAAATGACTATCTATGTTCCTATATATAAGAACCAAATACATAATTCACCAAGATTGATAAAAATCGTTAATTTAATTGATAACAATAAATTTATTTTATTTATATTATTTTCTAAACCTACCTTTATATTACTTCTCCTTCCTAATAAATATTCATATACTAGTATCTTTTAACCAATTGGCATGCATGCTTTATATTATTTTTCCTTCTTAAGATTAATACTTATTTTTCTCTTAATCAATTAGTTATAATTAATACATTTTATCAACTTTAGAGAATACATTAATTAAAAATATTTTAGTCTAAAAATAATTAATATATTAGACAACATGCATTGAATCTTATATAAAGAAAACGATTGTTCAAATCTTATAAATACAAATGGAAGTAGTATTTGGTGTTATTACATTTTTTTACATTTTAGCTTAGTGTCTAGTATTTTAAATTGACATGGCAGGAAAATTATGATCACGTTTCTGTACAGCTACTAAGAATCAGCTGGGAAAACATCGAATTGGCCATTTTAACATTAAATAAAAACCATATAAATAAATCCAAGTTCAATCGTTACAAATTCAGACAATTTTTAAGTTGGGACCGTGAAACCTGACCTTAGTATAAAGATTCTTTCAGAGAACAAAGCAAGGATTATGTATCTCCACGGCCACAGCCTTTTTGTGACAAAACTAATCATGAACCTATAAAGACGGCAGGAGAGCTTATTAGTTATAAACATAGTTTTAAAAACTGGACCGGTCATCGAATCAGTTAAGGTATTGGGTTAGTGGGTCAAAAGTTGAACTAGTGGGTCATTGGTTGAACCGCATGACTCGATTTTTATTTATTTTTATTAAAAAATATTCATATTAAATATATTTATACTTATAAATTTTAATAAATTCATATCTTATTTTAAATTTAAATTTTTCTATCTTATTTAAAATTATTTTTATTTTTATTTTGTAAAAAAATACATAAAAAAATTACATGTTAAACGGTATATTAATACAAATTAAAAATATAAATAATATGTACATATATAATATGCTTGCAATTAATATCACAAAATAATATATGTAATATTTACATAGATATTGAATTATTAAATATATAATTTAAAATTAATAATATACTATAAAAGTTATTTAAGTTGTATATATTGCAAACAAATATATTAGAACAAGTAGTCATTGTTATATTTAATAAGACTCCTTGCTTTTTCATTAAGAGATTCAATTTTTTTAAAAAAAAAATATAAAAAAAAAAGTGGTTGAACCGGTTTGACCCACCGGTTCACCGGTTGAACCGGAAAATTGACCGGTTCAATCCAGTTTGAAAACGGTCGACTGCATAACCGATCCAACTCCAGATTCGGACTGGCTGGCCCCCCGGTTCCCGGTCCAACCGGTCCGACCGGCCGGGTCGGTCCGAGTTTTAAAACACTGGTTATAACATTTAGGAAAATACACCTATTTAAATAGTGAAACGTCTCTGTCAAACTTCTCTTCTTTATTTCCAATTGATGTCAAACCATTTTATACATAATTAACACAATGCAGATGCCTTTATTTCATGAATTTTTCCGCTAACCAGCACGACTAAGTTTGTCTGTCATTAATTACCACATTCCATAACTTCGAATATTGCCGTTTTCACCTGCACAGGCAGCCGCAGCACAATACGGTGATTGTGATCTATGCTCATTTTTTATGCACGGTGAGTTGTGTGTGCTCATAGGAACATTCATCACAATGTGTTTATTAAAATAAGGGGCAAATATAATTAAATGACACCAACTATAAAAGGAACCGAAAGTGTGTTTGTTAGGCTTCAAAGATCAAACTCAGCTTTCACCTAGCAATGGCTGGTTGTGGATGGCAGTTTGGTCTGCTGTTCAGGACAACCATTTTATTCATCCTAATAATCCCCATTGCAAATGCTCAGCCTCAGTCTTTTCACTACCCCTACTTTAACTCAACTTATGTTAAGCAGCTCAATCTGGAAGGTAATGCTTCTTCCTCAGGTTCTGCTATCCAACTCACAGTGAATGCAATGAACCCAAACAACAAGTTTGGGACAGTGGGGCGTGTCACGTATCCCAAGCTAATAAATCTTTGGGACAAAAGTTCAAATGAAGTAAAAGACTTCACCACTAACTTTTCCTTTGTTGTTTCCTCAAATAAGAGTCCTTATGGAGATGGTTTAGCATTCTTCCTTGCAAGTCCAAATCTGGTAATCATAAGTGATATATTACTAATGGGAGGAAGCCTTGGCATTGGCCTTGTGGATGATAAGATAAATAGCCTCTCACCAGATTATAAATATGTGGCAGTGGAGTTTGACACTTACTCAAACACATGGGATCCAGATGGTGCACATGTAGGTGTAAATATCAACACTATGAAGTCTGAAATGTATGAGAAATGGTCGACAAATATTACACAAGGGGAAGTTTGTAACTGTAGTATTGTATACAATTCCAGAAGCAATATTTTGAACGTTTATTACACTGGATACAATTTCCGTGATGGGCATGCAACACAGGTTACACGCCAACTTTCACACCACGTTGATATCACACAGATATTACCTGAGTCTGTTGTTGTTGGCATATCAGCTGCAACAGGAGATTATGCTGAGGAACATACCCTGCTGTCATGGTCATTTAGTACAAGTACAAGTGAGGTCGATCGAGTGAAGGAATGCTGGTTACTCAGCAAAAGAATGTTGGAGGGAATAGGAATTGGAACCGGTTTGTTTTTTAGTTTGTTTGGGATGATTCACATTTTATTAAGGAGGCTGACCAAAGGAAAAGAAGAAGATTGCATTTCAGAAGCCACTTCTGATCTGAAGATGGATCATGTATTCGTGGACACTGGGCCTAAGAAGATTAGTTATCATGAATTGGTAAGTGCAACCAACAATTTTGATGAGACACAGAAGCTAGGCCAAGGAGGTTTTGGTGGTGTTTATAGAGGTTATTTCAAAGACTCAAACACCTATGCTGCTATAAAGAGGATATCAGCAGGTTCCAAGCAGGGTATAAAACAATACACAGCAGAAGTGAAGATCATTAGCCAATTGAGGCACAGGAATTTGGTAAAACTCACCGGTTGGTTCCATAAGAAGAAAGATCTCATCCTGGTATACGAGTACATGGAAAATGGCAGCTTGGATCATCACCTTTTTCGTGGTGAAATCATCTTGTTATGGAAGGTGAGGTACAACATAGCTCTGGGCTTGGCCTCAGCATTGCTTTACCTACAAGAAGAATGGGAAAAATGTGTGCTTCACAGGGACATTAAATCAAGCAACATAATGTTGGACTCCAACTTCAACCCTAAGCTTGGGGATTTTGGCCTGGCTAGGCTGGTGGATCATGAGAAAGGGTCACCAACCACAGATGTGGCAGGGAACATGGGTTACCTTGCCCCTGAATATATGAACACGGGCAAGGCGAGAAAGGAATCAGACATATTCAGTTTTGGGGTTGTTCTGTTGGAGATAGCCACTGGAAGAAAAGCCATTCACCACAAAGACATGGAGGGTGAAGTGTCATTAGTTGAGTGGGTGTGGGAGCTCTATGGTTTGAGCAATGTGCTTGCCACAGCAGATCCAAACCTATGTGGGGAATTTGATGTGCAGCAAATGGAATGCTTGCTGGTTGTTGGTCTATGGTGTGCAAATCCAGATTCAGCATCCAGACCCTCTATAAGGCAAGTTATTAAAGTTCTTAACTTTGAAGCTCCTTTACCAATTCTCCCACAACAGATTCCAATGCAAGATTTTCTCTGTCCCATGACAAATGAGTTGTTTCTTACAGTTTCATCTTCCTCAAAGGCTACAAGTTAATTGGTTAGGAAATTATGTTAAACAGACAACACTATATACACATCCTTTATTTACTACACATAATTATGTTACTTTTTCATTTTCTCCTTTTAAATGTATTCAAATAGCTTCCACTACTAATTGATGAGTTCACGTAGTGATCAGTTATTTTGCGTTACCTAATCAACTCTGACAGCGTGGATGGAAAAACAATAATTTACACGACTGTAAACTCTAAAGGGTTCATCGTCTAATAAAAAAAAAGTATGAGAAAGTCCACGATTAAAACAGTAATGCATGAAAACTTGTTGGCATAATATTTTCGCACGTGTTAAAATATGAATTAAACAATCATTAATTTGACAATTACCTTCCTAAATTAAACAAACAAGAAACAATAGAAGTTTTTGACATTCAACAGATGTTAGGCTGAACAATTGAGGAAAAAAAAACTGATTTAGAAATGGATGGTACGTGGCGAAGGGAGAGAGGTAGAGACATGCCTAGAAAGAAGTGTGTTGTGCAGAGAATCGAAAATGCTTCGTCCAAATCCCCTAAACACGGCTCTTCTGGGTACTTTTATGAAAGAAACCTACTTATTTGAGTCCCTACTCCATATTAGGGATGGCGATGGGTCCCGTGGGGTGGCTAATAGTGAATCCGCTCCTGTTTCGCTGAATGAAAATTGGTCCTATATTTATTTCATATCCACACGGGTATTTATTAAGTGGGTATCCATGAATTTCTTAAATATCCACGAATATCTATGGATATTTATAAATTTTTTAAGAAATTAAAAAAATTATATTATAAATAATTTTAAGTTTATATTTAATATTATTGAAATATTAAAAATAAAAATTCAGTGTTAATTTTGAACTTGTATTTAACGTTAATTTTGTTGAAATAATAATAAAAATGCAAAATAATCAATAACTTAAAATACATCAATTTCACAAGTTAGAGTCTCATCACAAAGCTACAATAATTCAATCTCATAATTCAAAACAAAAGTAAACAACTTAAAATACATAAATCTTATTGGTCCAATCAAAGCTAGAAAATTAATCAAATTACATCTAACATAATTCTATAACATGCTTAACACAAGTTGGTAATTTCATCAACCTCACTTTTGTAAGAAAATAAGATGAGAGAGTGTAGTTTTAGGGTTATGTGGTATAAGGATAATTAGGATATTTAAGAAATATTATTAAACAGGTACCAGCGGGTATGAATATCATCATACCTGCCCCCGCCCCGTTTATAAATGTGTAAAAAATTATCCGTCTCCATTATCCGCGGGTACCCAATTAGTCTATCTATTTATTATCCGTAGCTAATTTTACCCGTAAATATCCGCGGGATATATTTTTGTCATCCCTAATCCAAGTACAAATGAACGGTGATAATTTCATCTTTAATTTGATGTATAAGTCAAATATTTATTTTATAGTTTAAATAAATTTTAATCTCTTAAATTTAGAATGAATTTGTTTTTAATTTTTTAAATTTAAAATTATTATTTAATTTAATAACTTTTTAAAATTTTAATTTTTTAATTCATCACTCACTGATGTATATGAAAGTAACTGAGATCGTAACATTATTTTGATTTAATATATTATTTTTACTAGTAAAGATATTAGTAAGTAGGTTTTATATAATATTATTAGACAGATTTATTAATAAAATTTGAGTATAAAGATTAAAATAATTTTTTTTAAAAATACATGATTACAAATATCTGTTTTAATTTTGAGATATTAAAAATAAGTTTATTTTAAAATTAAGAGACTAAAAATATATTTAAACATATTTTATATTAATAAATTTAAAATAAATTATGTTTATAAATAAATATTATATTTAAATATATATTATATTTAAAA